TCCGATTTTATGGAGGGCGGGGGAGGTCGGTTGTTACTGCAGTCAAACACCGGCTTGTTTTACTCCGACACTAACAAACTCTCGATAGTGTTAATACGCGAAGAGTATTTGATCCATGGGTAGGACACATACCAGAAGGCTAACTGAGGAGGGGGGTTATTGGTGTGAGGACGTTCTCCCGCTTTCGCAGCTCCAAGTACGAAGACTGTAATTTATCACACTTGCGGCAGAACATTAATCCGCCGGATGATACTCCCGCCAGCTACCAACATGGGTGAGGTGGGCAGGGAGGACAAAGTGGTCCCACTGCGAGTGCAACCTTCGATCTCCCTTGGCTGCTTGCATTTGTGTACCGGTGGCTGCCGATCCTATCCTAAGTGGCCAATCATCTTCGAGGCCGATTCCTACGACGTTGCTGGAGGCGCAGTAACCAATACTCACGGTCTCGAACGTGCGCTCATCCGGTCCCTAACTTCTTTCAACCTATTCTCCAGTAGTTCTGTACAGAATACACTATTCCTCCCAACTGGCGTTCTACTTAGTCTCTTCCCATACAGAACCGAGTCTGAAGGTCGTAGCGGAGAGGATCTCCCTGATAACTTGAGCTGCTGCGATGCATCCACAACGAGGGCTCGGCGGGTACAGGCTGTTAGTCAGGACCCATGCAGTTCCTACGCGACCAAATCCTGCAAAGACTAAATTCCACCTCTGTGTGTGTCTCGGCCAAATTGTTTCTCTTTCTCGGGCAAGTGGCGGGGAATGGGTGTTTGCCTCAAAACGCCACCATACACAACAAGAACAACGGTTTCTGGAAAAGCAGACTTACGGTCCTGTTTCTTCTCCTTCAGAACTGAAAGGTAGAGAACGAAATAGGAATTAAGGGCATTGCAGTGCAGTTAATACGCATGTGAATGCAAGCTGTATATTAAATATACTGATATATACCGCGAACAGAAATTAATTTCTCAGGAAATTGAAAAGCTGAACTTTCAAAACCGGTATATCAACTAGAAAGCAGACAATGAAAGCTGGGGGAGCCACTGATGAGCCGGACCCCTCGCAGCTGTGTTAAGCAGCCGCAGAATACCGACGAAACGCGTGTCTGGGCCTTTTAGTTAGTAACTAGGTTGTTAGTATGGTAAGTTACAATATGATAACTTTGTTACAGAAACAGTTTTCAGCTTGTAGTCACTAAATTCTAAACGGAACTGTCACGGCAGGTCGGATTCAAATTTATACAGGGATTGAAAAACCTTTGCTTTTAAACCTAAACACACCCTTTCTCTGAGTATACAATTCGAAGGAGAAACCATTCACCTCTACGCGAGCACAGAAAAGATTTTTTGTTATAAATGTTTTCTGCAAAAAAAGTTGAATCTACAAGTGCATTGGCACAATGGATGAATTTCATGATACTCAAGTATTCATTTTTTTCACTCAAAGAAGTGCATTCAAAAGCCGACCTCCTCATGTGACCGAGCTGTCCTGCTCCGCAACAATCAATAGTGCAAGTTCGGTTAAGTAACCCTTTCTACTCGAAGACGCATTTCAGAATTGCCGCCAACATGTCATGAGACTGTTCGCTGACTGCACTGTTCCAGTGCTTGCGCATTGGGCTTCTTTGCATCAAGAACCCGGGACTCGTGCATCCGCCTCTGTTCATGCTCTAGACGCTTTTGGAGATGATATGCTTTATTGGTTTTCCGCATAAATGTTGGCTTACAGAGTTTCAGTAACGCCCGCAGCAGTCATTTGAACTGCAAAAATACACTGGGCGTAAGACCGAACAAGAAGCCATCTTCAGAGGGTGCGGCAAGAATTGACGTGTTTTGTAGTACAGCCATGAGAAAAATGGGGGAGGGTGGGGGGTGGTGGGGAGTGTGTTGCATTCGTAGTAAAGTAAGTCCACGTCGTCGTCAAGGCGTGCTCCGAACTCTGCAGCAATACGTTCCGTTGCTTCTGAGAAGATACGATAGAGGGTTCTGTAGAGTTCAACGTGGCTATCGTCTGCCAGCTACTACGCCTTCTTGAATCAAGCAAATAAAGGATCGACTGGGTGTGGGTGAGCAGTA